TGGCCTGATTGTGCGCAGCTTTAAGTGTGGTGGGGAGGAGGAGGGGGGGCATAATTGTGGTACCCTACTTGCCCTATATGTAAGTGCTTGTGTAAAGGCTTTGGGACTATCACATTCAATATTGCATCACTGCAGTTTACACTTAAGGTTTGCATTATATACATTTCTGTTTGTGTGTATAGACATATATATAGGAAGCCCTGCACTGAAAGGTTGCAGCTCTGTAGCAGGTTTATAATGACCTCGCTGAGGTAGAGACCCTGACAGGATGCGTGGTGCACGACAAAAACAAACAAATACACAAATAAACTGAGGCAATGAGCAAAAAATCCAACATTCCCTTTTTGAATTAAAATGGTAAACATGCCGAGTACAATGCGTTGCTGCTAAATGGCATATTTAAGTGCATTTCAGCATGGAAACTAAGTTGTGCATGACAGCATCTGTATCTTTTTTTTTCTTTTTTTATTCTCGACCATTGTCCCCTGCTGTTTGAACCTTACTTGTGTAACATCTCAACCAGCAGCAGCTTCAACACCACAGTTCAATCACACACAAAAACCACTGAGGCACTTTCACCGATCCCGTTGGTGGAAGGAATAAAGGCACTGGCAACTAATATCGGAAGAACTCTCTGAAACGTGAAATGAAGTTTGGTATCGAGTCTTTTTTGATGTATTTTTGAAATCAGTTTGTACTAAAGTTAGATGGAAGCATGATTTAAAAAGATGTGAAATTTTCTTGTTCAAACAATGTCCATGCACTGCATTATTATCCTAACTGGTGCTTATTATGACTATATGCATTTTTGATAGTAAATTGACAATATGTAGTTCGTTCTTTTGTCTACTATTTAATTGGAAACTCTGCATCCTCATTGTGGGTTTATTTGATCATAATTCAGAAACACCCAATCCAATTTTTGACTTACTCAGTTTCCCTGACAATAGGGCACTGCAGAATGCATGAACTGCAACAAGCTGTATACTCACATCATGCATTAAATATATGAGGATACAAAAGTACCTTGGTCAATAAGCCATAATGCAGGTTACTTTTTTCATGCTATGATCTCATTTATGTACTGTTCCCTTAAAGATTTAACATTCAATTTCTATACTTCTAAATGATTAGCAATTCAAATAAATAAATAAATGAAAATAAATAAATAAATAAATAAATAAATAAATAAATAAATAAATAAATAAATAATAAAACTCATCCAGTGCACTTGGGTATGACAACATATGGGAAGTGGGGGAAGTGAACATCCTTTTCCACTTTGTGACATATGTCTCATGCACACTGATAGTCGACATGGAAAGTCTCTAGATCATGCTTGTGTGAAGCTTACTTTTTTCATTGTGCTGTGTTGTATCTATAAAGGGCATGGCATTGAATCACTTGGTGATAACACGATTACAGCAGCTGCCGCAAAACAGCAGCATTGCAGATGTCCGTGAAGCAAGCGGATCGCCATCTGTGTACATCCAAACGAGAGAGAGGTCAGTCTTCCTACTGTAAGGTGCTTTGCTGAGTAGCAGATCCTTTGCAGGGAGAGGAGAGAAGATTATGGGGGTTAGGTGGGAGGGGTGGGTTAAGGGGTGGGGGTGTTTAAGAGGGGTCATCTAACTTCTTGGCGGGTTACCTCTTGGCTCAGAGGCTTGAATGTCTGCAGTCATTTCTGGTGCATTGTGCAACTTGCTGAAATGTTATCTGTACTCCATGCATAAGGTTTGAATTTGTTATGCCATTGTCTCATAAGACAGGATGTGCTCTGCATCCCCTAAGGAGCCATGTATACATGTAATAATCAATGTTTTCTTTTTGACTTATCCATAGAGTCGTAGGATCAGTAAAATTAATTATTCTATCTACATGGGTAAGACTTTGAAAGCTTTGTTTTCTTGAGTTTCTTTCTTTATGGCTGAGCATATTTGGAGGCCTAATGCCATAGAGTGCTCTCGAGATGGGAGGTAACTGAAGCATTCCTAACTCGTGGTATACTCCACGTGCGACTGTACCATAGGGAGCCTAAATTACCTATGTGACGTCTAAACATCTGTAAGCAGCTTGCTTTTATTAACACAGTTTTGGTTGGCTATAGTGCAATTGCCAGTTCTAAGGTTTGCCTCCCTAAAGTTGTCGATGCTATTGTTGATATCCCCGTCAATCTCCATGTACTCTGACTTGCTGACGGTTGATGAGCTACGGCGGCTGGAGTTGGTTTCAGAGGGGATATTGGGGTTGCTGACATTAAGCAGTTGGGCCTGCTCCTCTCCCTCAGTTTCTCTGTGGTAGAAGTAGTTGAAGTTGGACACAATGACAGGCACTGGGAGTGCAATTGTTAAGACTCCAGCGATCGCGCACAGAGATCCTACGATCTTTCCCCCGATGGTGACCGGGACCATGTCCCCATAACCCACAGTTGTCATTGATACAACAGCCCACCAGAACGCATCCGGGATGCTGCCAAAGTGGGAGCCTTGCTCCTCCGCTTCGGCAAAATAGACAGCACTGGAAAACAAGATGACTCCGATGAACAGAAAGAAGATTAGCAGTCCCAGCTCTCGCATGCTAGCCTTCAGGGTCTGCCCCAGAATCTGAAGTCCCTTGGAGTGTCGTGACAACTTGAAGATCCGAAACACCCTGACCAGACGGATCACCCTGAGGATGGCCAGAGATGTCGCTTGCTCCCCCACACCCTCCTTTTCTGGGTCTTCTGCCAGCTCAGTGCCCAGTGTGATGAAGTAGGGGATGATAGCCACGATGTCAATTGTGTTCATCATGTTCTTGAAGAAGGCTGGTTTGCTTGGACACGCCAAAAAGCGTACTATCAACTCAAATGAGAACCAGATTATACAGAGAGTCTCAATGACAAAGAAGGGGTCAGTGAGGATATTTGGTTTATAATAAATAGTAATGTTCCCAAATGTCTCGAATCGACCGGCTGGGTCCTCTTTCAGCTGTGGTAAAGTCTCCAGACAAAATATGACTATTGAAATCAGGATAACCATCACAGAAACGATTGCAATCCCTCTCGCAGTGCCCGAGCTTTCTGGGTGCTCGAAGAGGAGCCAAATCTGACGCTGGAACTCCTTCTCGGGCAAAGGACGCTCTTCCTCTCTGATGAAACCCTCATCCTCACGAAACCTCTCCATGGCGTCCACTCCCAGCTCATAAAATTTGATTTCTTCTGAGAACATGTCCAAGGGAACGTTCACTGGCCTTCTTAGTCGCCCCCCAGACTGGTAGTAGTAAAGGATGGCATCGAAGCTTGGGCGGTTTCTGTCAAAGAAGTACTCGTTTCTCAGGGGGTCAAAATACCGCATCCTCTTTTTGGGGTTGCCCAGCAGCGTCTCCGGAAACTGGGAGAGAGTCTTTAACTGCGTCTCAAACCGGAGGCCGGCAATGTTGATGACCACCCTCTCGCAGCACTCGTGGTCATTGTGGTCCGGGGGGTAGGCATCCTGAGGGTGGCCCGGGACGGCCGAGGTCTCATCCATGTTGTCCCCCGCTACTACGGTCATTTTGGGGGAGCAGGAAGTGGCGACAGATGAGGAGGAGGAGGAGTGGGAACGATGCAGGGGTGTTGGTTAGTCGAACTGACCGGACATTCAGGGTTGGGAGAAATTTTTCCACTCCTCAGCTTCCCACACCCCTTAGATTGTTGGAGGCGTCCCCAGTCGCGAGGGGGGGCGGTTGGCTGCTTTGCCTCAGTGCGGCTCCACTGCGGCTCTCGCTGACTTGACCATTGCTGCTCTCCAGTGCATGTGCAGCAGTTGCTACTGCTGCTTCTGTCAACCAAAGAAAGAGGGAGGGAAGCAGGGGGGTGTGGGGGTGAGGAGGAGGAGGAGGAGGAGGAGGGGATAATGGAATCAAACAGCCAAGATATTTGCTGGCTCAGCATTTTTTCTGCAGTTCATTTATTTATTTATTTATCCCGCCACATCTATGAGGCTGCAAAAATACTGCAGCGACCCAGAAGAAGTTTTAACCATTTATTTTACAGCATAAACGTTAACTGATGAGCTTCAGAATAGTTGGGTTTTTTTAACCTTTTTTTTTTAATTGGTGAGTTTACTGTAGTTTGTTTCGACCATCATTTGGCATTTTGAACTCGTAATTTGGGTAATTTTCTTGATTCACATCAAATTTGTGCTGCAACGTTTTCTCACACAAACTTTGGGACTCTTTGTCTTCAAAGAGCAGGGCTGTGATTTCTCCTCTCACAACAGGCTGAGTTGCAGTGTGACGCATAGCTTTTTTTTCACACACACACACACACACACACACACACACACACACACACACACACACACACACACACACACACA